AGTACCAACTAGCTTTAGGAGTTAGGACCTCACAAACTCTCATAAAAACTCTCATCTACCAACTTTGCTAAATAAGGTTAAAATTCATTGACACTTTCTTTTTCACTTAGAAAATTTTTGGAACTTTTTTTTCTTTCTGGACCAGCTAGCTAGCTGGTGAGAGAGACTAATCAAGTCAATGAATCTAAACCAAAAACAAAACAAATGATGAAAATATGTGGAATCAATTGTTACTTTTCCTCTGCATATGTTATCCAATACACAGAAAAAAAAAAAGTAAATAATAATAATAATAATAACAATAATAATAATAATATCACTATCAAGTGACCTTATCTGCCTAATTTTATGTTTTTTGGCCTTTGGAATATATGTGCAAAGTATAGTAAACAAGAAATTTTAATAGTGGTATAAATAAATATGTAAATGAAGAGTCTACTCAAATCATGAGGACAATTATTAAATTATATAAATTTCATTCATGTTATATGTTTTTTATGATATTTTTTGTTTGATATATGCATTCTTTAGTATGAATGAACCAAAGTGTAATGTTATCTAGAAATAATGCTATTCAAATATTATTTATATTAATTTCTAAAGCTAAGGTAAGCATGGAACCAATGAATGGAGAAGTTAAAGAATCAAAGGTCAAGTCTATGTCATTTTCTATTAGCTAGAGATATCTCATGAACATTTACTGTTTTAAAAATTAATATATGTCCTTTTTGTCTATCTGTTTTTAGACAAACAAACAAACAAAAAACCAGTGTATGAGTGTGAAAAGCAGTACCACACAGTTAAAAGTTTTGAGATAGTTTTAATCTAACATGTAATAATAGCAAGAGATGAGGGGAAATGTGAGCTGTAAATTGTAATCAAATCCATTTTTTTTTCTCATTTTCTTTTTTCATTCATTTTTCTAAATTGTAGACATGGGTTAAATAATTAATATGTTTATTAACTGATGTGACAGTAAATTTGCATATCACGCAACACTCGACTAATGGACAATGTGCCCACAATTGACAAATATTTTTTTTTTACTATTGTTGTAGAAAAATAAAAGAAAGAAATAGAAAACAAAATGCAAGTTAGGTTTGAGTACTTTCACTAAAGTTGAGAGTGAGCCAGGTCCAGCTAACTTAGCCAAATTTTGATGTGAGCTTTAGGATCTTCATTTGCAGTGTAAAGGGAGGGTATGCTACTTGGTACTTTTTGATGAATTGAGTGAAGAAATGGACTAATATAGTAATATGCAATATTTTGTAATGCAATATATTATTTATTAGATTTTATGAATTGTCAAAGGTACTAATATGGTAATATGCAAATGCAATTAGGCATGTAAACAAAATGAGCCGAGTCAAACTCGAGTCTTAACGAGCTGATCTCGAGTTTTAACGAGCTGAATTATAAAAAATTATATAAAAATTCTTTCTTCGAGCCTTAACAAGCTTTATCGGCTCGACTCGTTAAGGCCTCGAGCTTAAACCGAACTCGAGCCTAAACGAGTCAAGTCGAGCCAGACTCGTTTAATTTAACAATACTATATGCAATAAAAACAAGTGAAGGCTTTAGTTGCAAATAGGGTACTAAAACAACCGAGCTAAGCTCGAGCTCTTAATGTTCGAGCTCGACTTGTTAAGCAATAAGCGAGTTTGAGCTCGGCTCATTTCCAAACTCAAGCTTTGTAAAAAACCTTATTTTCTTGAGCCTAATGAGCCTTAATCAAGTCGAAGGTATGCTTATTTATCAAACGAGTGAAACCGAACTCGAATCTAATTTACTATCAATTTGTTTTATTTAACAACACTATAGCTAGTTGTAGTTTTTGTAATATGAGGATGATATTTGATGTCTCAAATTTAATGTTCTAGACGAGTACCATTCTGAAAATGTAATTTGTAATTGCACGTCTAGAATTGCAACCCAAATTTTTAAATACCACCTATTGAAATCCTCAAATAAAAATACTTACTGGACCATACAGTCTACCTCTATATTTATTACACTTAGTATATAAATCAAAATTACAACTTAACCCAAAAATAGAAGACTATTTATATAAAGTGAAAAATTAGATGAGCAAAAAATGCCTAAAATGGTGGCTTGCTCATAACCTTCACACAACTTATGTACAATCTTGGGCCATAAGAAAAACCCTTGGACCTATGAAGCCTCTAACCAGCAACAACCAAAAACAAAGGAGACTAAAAGGGAAGAGAGAGAGAGGAGAAAGAAAAAGGGGCAGAGAGAGAATGCTAAGCAATAATTCACTCCAATCTATTTAATTCAATCATTTTTTTTATTTTTTTTTATTTTTGCATCCTTCAGGCTTCACCCTCCATAATAACAAGAAACATATATGAGATCTCATTCTGACAACCCAATATTTAAACCAAGAAAGTTCCAAAGACTCGATTTTTATAACTTCGAATTCTTAGTTTTTTTGCTATCCATTTGCTTTTTTTTTTTGTTTTCATCCCTCTGATCTAGGAACAAACTCTGTCACCATCAAATCTTTTATGGGTTTATACAGCTAAGGCTGTTGTTAATTTGTGACACAAAAAAAACCATGGAAGGTCCACACGCTCTCAGCCCAGGTTCAAGGTATGAAAAATCAGACCACACCATATTCTCTGAAGCTCTCCCTAATAAATATTATTGGGTTTCTTGTCTAGAGTGAGAAAAAGGGGCA